TTTATTTATACATACCTGAAACGTATTTTTATTTCCTTGTCACTATACATTTCCAAAGGATTTTCGAGATCTGGCATTATGCGGGGTATTTGGAGTTCATGACCAATATTCTCAGCAAGAAACAAGTCATCAATAAAATCCAGGTCCTCAAAAATGTCCATAATCTTTTTATTTAATAAATTAAAATATATATATTACAATAAAATTACTATATTAGTTTTTCGTTTTCATAATCATTGTGATAATAAAAATCAACATTGATGTGATATGTGTAAAATTTAAACTTAAGTAACCTACAAAGGTATCTTAATTTTTTACTTAATTTATTTCACTTAAAACAGTTAAGTAAAGTTTAAAAATACGAAAATTCTATTAAGTTTTTAATTAAGTGTATTTTTGTTTGTTAAGTGCACTTAAAATGTTTGAGTTATGTTTGAAAATACGGCCCTAAAACTGGTAGCAGCAAATAAATGGTACTTTGGACTAGTACCTCTATTCAAGTCAAAGATGCTATCATGGAGAACGAAAATAACACTGTACAAAGTGCTGATAAGACCGGTAGCACTATACACCTGTAGCGCATGGGCAACAACAAAGACGGATGAAAATAGACTAGCTAATTTTGAACGAAAGGTCCTTAGAAGGATATTTGGACCAAAAAGAAACGCTCTAGGGGACTTAGAATTAAGAACCAACCGAGAAGTAAAAGAATTATATGGTGAAACAAATACAATTGGAGTCTTTAAGAGTAGTAAGCTGGGATGGGTGGGACATATATGGAGGTTCGAAGGCCCTATAGGATTGGACACAAGTTGGAAACCGAACACAAGAAGACCGAGAAGACGACTTAGACAGCGGTAAAAAGACAGGATTAAAAAAGATGTATCAAGGATGGGAGTGAACGACAGAGAACTAACGCAAGATAGAGATGAGTGGAGGCAAGTGGTTATTGCGGCAATAGACTTAAATTGCCCGTAAAACCCATTAAAGAATAAAAGAAAGAAAGAAATATATTGTATTTTATACAAACTAGCCAATGAATCGTTTTCATTTTTGTTTTGACAAGCATGAAACAGCAAGAAGTGTCAAGTAATTGTTTTTGCAATATTACAAAACTAGGAATTGTTGTCAGTTGTATTTATATTACAAACAATGTTCTAAATTATATGAAGCCATGTATAAAATCTCAATCAAATAAATGTACAAGTTTTACAAAATAATTCAAATTAATTTTAATAGTCGTGTTGATGCAACAAATGAGTAGTTACTTTTATTTTATGATAATAAAGATTCAAGCAATAAAAAATTGAGCACTTACAATGTGACTATATATACAAGAAAAAACATTAGTCTTCTTACTCAAGATGAAAACATATAAATTAAATAAAACAATAATCAAATGTTGTCCACAGATCCTGTTTTAAGTTAACATTTATAGAACTCGAACAATCCACAGAATTATCTCAATGCCCTGCAGGATACTTGACAGGTCTTAAGAATGGATTGTCTATGGGTTCCTCTTGTTTTATTTCTGTTTCTTCGCAGTTTACTATTTCTTCTTCTTCTTCATTTTCATTTTCTTGTTCTTCATTTTCATCGAATTCTTCTTTATTCAGATCATCTTTTTTAAGTTTGATTTTTTTACTAGGAGGTGGCATTTCACTATCATCAGGATCATCATCAAATACTTGATCCATTGGTATTAATGCTGAAATATAAGCTGGTTGTTGTGGCTTGTTGGCTATTACTAGAAAATATGAAATTAATTATTAATACATTTGCTACATATTAAAATGTATATTTACATGATTATTGACAATATAATACATAAGATTTATTACATTAAAAAAAAAACAATTAGAATAGCTGCTTATAGGGGTGAATTGTAATAAGATGTTAGGTATTTTAACTTTTATATTTTTATTACATACAATTTAAAAATACAATTTTACAAAAAGCATGTTTGAAGATTGATTTGTTACATATTGGCTTGATTGACATGACGGGTTTGCAAAAAAGAGCGCGAAAAATTCAAATTATTTTTTAAAAGATATTTTTTGTATATATTTATTTTTCCATCTGAGTCAATGAGTTTTCCATATATTAACATAACATAGGTAGATAAGTGATATAAACAGTATGATAAAAGGTCAAGTAAGCAAAATGTAAAGAAACAGATATTAAACAGAAAATTAAAGGTGGGATCTTCATTGGAATTTTTCATCTATATAAAGTAGTACTGGTAAGTCGTACATAGAATAATTATTATTTAAAATAAATGTTTTTATGTAAGATCTATGTTCAACCAGTAGAGTAAATAATGAGAATATTTTTTTAACTATTGTGAAAAATCAAATCAAAATATTCTTTTAGTTATCTAAAAATGACACTTACAAGGAAAGCAATCGTTTTCTTGATTTAAAAATAAACTTTCAGTTGGGCCAGTTTTAATTAAAAATTTAATTAAAGATTTTTCAAGCTCGTGTTTTTGAATTGCAGATTTTTCACGGATTGCTTCATATTCAGTAACTGGTTGTTTGTGCGTCTGCAATTAAAATATATATTATAAAATAAGTAATAATGTAATATAGGTGAATGAGTTTTCTTACTGGAGTTCTTATGTACGCGTGAGGATCAGGAAAAGAGGGCATATGACTAGGCATATATGGTGGGTGGGGCAGTCTAGTGCCTGCTTGAAGATTACAAGTTTGGCGAGGCTGAACAGATGGTTCAGGACTAGGGAGAACACCACGATTTGATCGTTTAGCGTAGGCTAATAGACTGGATGCACTTTTAAACAATCCCATATCAATTAGACCCATCATTACATCGGCTCCAAGAGGTTCGAGTCGTCCAGCTACTTCAGCATACCGCCGACTACTATTTCCCATCTGAGATAACACTAAAGACAAAAAATAAAAGCTGTTTAGTTACATACCTAATACATTGTATTAATTTCAAATGTTAGGTGAATTATTTGTTATTTTTAAAAGAAATAATAGATACATCACATTCAAAAAATGATTCTGAATGCAGATTTATAGTAAGTATAATATATTTTATTGTTTTAATATAGGTATTTGTATAAAATATAATAAACAAATAAAAGTTATATTTTAAAGATTTAAAAAGAAAAATTAATTATATACAATAGAAATTAATATAAAATACAGATACAAAAAAACAAAAACAATTTTGTCAAACATTTGCTCAGAATTATAACCAATTAAGTAAATATTAAAGGTTCAACAATAATAATGTATAGTGTATTGTGATAAAATTGAAAAAAAAATATTTATAAAAATAGCGACTCAGTTAAATTAGAAAGAGCTTGTAAATAACCAACTTATAATTTAAGGAGATAAAAAGTTTAATAACTTATGGCTAAAATTTAGATATGACATTCAATTGTCAGGCTCTTTTTCATAAAGTTCAATATACACTATAACTATAGGGAAATAAAGCATGTTAGCATCTATTTTATAATGCATAATAATATCAATATTGCCAGTCAACCAAAACCAAAACTTCAGAACCTCATCAACCACATTCAACTACCGACAAACAAAAATTATTGGGCTCAAAGATCCTCGACCTTTCAGCCATATTGGCATCTATGATAGGAAAATAAAACTCACCACTAAATAGCATTTCGACAAGCGTTTCCAATGCGGCTGGTTCAACAACTTGGAACCCGATTTCTAACAAGATGCCGGCCACTGTGGTTTTCAAAAATTTCCTTTCCATACTCTTGTCCATATCCGGTGAACGAAAAGTTCCGGCGGACCGGGGTATGTGTTGAGTGTCCGAAAGTCGTGTTTAAGTGTGATAAATCTAATCCTGAAACCTGGAAACAACGGCGTTCGCGTCGCCGTTAACGGGACGTCAACGATCGCAATTTGGAAAACAACAACAATGATATCGTAATTCTTACATCTGATAACGCATCCCGCTATCGTTATTTCCGTTTTCGATTACTGAACTTATCGGTGACCATGAGACTCTCGGATTGGTCCATGTTGGTGACGTTCGTTGATTTTGATAAGCACGTGGCTTTGATAAGAACTGTCGTGATAGAACCGACGTCTGCTATTAAATTGATTCATTGCCGTATTTAAAAATTCGTAGCTAAAAAAAACGTTTTCATTCTTACAACACACTATTTTTAATCACGTTGAACGAAATAAAACGATTATCAGGCGTGAAGCTGTATACGTTCTTATTAGATGTCGTAAACCGGGTCGTTGGACATTGCATCGATGGAATATTTCAAAAGCGGTCTGAAATCTGTACTCGGCACGCCCGTCGTCGATGATCAACCGTCCGGTGCCGATATTGTACGCCGTTTCGTTTTTATTATTTGTTTCGTCTCTTCGCATACATATTGATTAAAATTTGGCTTCACAGGTCGAACGTCTAGTGGAACGGGTACAACATTCCACTTTGCTGGCCGATAGACGCGATGCGTGCAGAGCGCTGAAAGCTCTGTCTCGCAAGTACCGTATTGAAGTAGGTGCCAAAGGCATGGATGCTCTGTGTCAAGTGCTAGAGCAAGATCGTGCTGATGCCGAAATAGCCAGTTATGCTTTGGAAACGTTAAAACTAATCATGAATAATGAGATATATGATGAAGAAGGTATTTTGTCAACTAAATATTTCATTATCTTTGGTAGTAATTTAAATTTTTTTAATATAATTTTACATTATCTCATATTGTTGAAAAATGAATCAAATATTTAGCTTTAGGTTTTGATTTTTATATTAGTTTTATATGAACATGGTTTAATTTGATAATTAAAAGTAATTTGCTTACAATTTACTCATTGTTACTAAATTATTATTTAGTAATCAATTTAATAAAACCCAATTATATAGTTTTATGATTTATCATTTGAATGTATTCCAATCATATATAATTACATGTTATATTTAAGACTAAATAATTATAAAATAAGCCATATTAATATTATTTATTGTTATTCATTATTCACATTTAATATAAAACATTTTTATTCATTAAATTAATGTGATGATTATTGTAGGCATAATAATTAGCTATTTTATTTAGTTAAATATTTCATACAATAGTGACAACATTTAAGAGTCGTTTATATTTTTATTTAAGTATCCAAAAAAAATTATCTTTTAACTTATATACTATCTACTAATAATTCATGATTAATTCATATATTATTTTATAATACTGTAAGTTTAAAGTTAATATTGTGAGTGTATTTGTGTTCATATATTTATATATGAGTAATGAATAATCTATAATTTTGGAAATGGCTTTGATTTTATATTGACAAAATAAATTATATTCCATTTTAATTATTACCCATTAAACATTTTTGAAAGATGTGATTTGTAAATTACTGGGGTGATCATAATTAACCTTTTGAGTAAAAACAATTATGAAAAAAATATAAAATAATTATTACATATCCTATTATATATATGTGGGATCAGTAGGAATAACGTTAGACGAATGTTAACCTTAAGCTCAATATATTACAAAGCAACAACAAATTACAATACATTTAAAAACAAACAAAGTATATAACAACTATAGCACTCTTCACACTAACTTGTCGGGCATCATAACATCACTGCCCTCTCCAGACAGGTCATCACACCGTCTTGGATTGACCTGACCAACACCAGTGTTACCATCCCACATTCTCCTACCTTGAACAGCGTCCGCCTTGGAAGTTATGTATTCATCATCTGACTTCTCAGCTTGATCCTGGTTGATGGAACGCCACAGCTTCATTTACTCAGTGCAGGAGTAGCTTTGCTCGGGTCCTTCATGTGTGCCAACTCTTAGCACCTTATAATGTTCGTTACCTTCACGTTCTATTACTCGATAAGGTCCTAAAAACTCTGTATAGCTTCGAACTTGGTAAGAACTATGTTTTCTTGATAGCAACTAGATCCCCTAGTCGGTAACTGACGGCCTCCTTTCTGAACTTGTTAAACACGCGTTGCTGTTGGATTTGTGCCTTCTGTATCTGTTTCTTTGCTAACTGTCTGTTTTCTTCTTGACCTTCCTCATGACACCTGACATATTCAATCTTCACTACCTCTTTGATTGATTGATACTCTGGGTGGTTCATCTCTACTCCGAAAACTAATTTGAATGGGGTCATCCCTATGGAACGCTGATATAACCCATTCAACGCCATCTGGACTTTTGGCACCTGACAATATCACTGATCTGGCTCAGTCATACTTCACTTTGATAATACATTTATAATAATGGTATTCAGTCTTTCCCTTTACCATTAGCCCTTGGTACACCTGTGGTTATAAGAATGTGACGGATCTCGCATTCTGAACAATAATTACTAGTCTTTCGAAGTGAATACAGTTTCTCTATCCGACACTAGTTTTTCCGGATTACCAAAAGTAGCCTCTATCACTGCCAACTTGTCGATGACTCTTTATCAGTGACACTTCTAGTAGGAAATAACCAGTAGAACTTTGTGAACCCATCGATTACAGCCAGAATGTGTCGGTATCCCTTCGGTGTTGGTGTCAGCGGATCAAGGAAGTCTATATGCCACATGAAAAAAAGGGTGTCTTCTTTATCAATGCTGTGTAAGAAGCCCTCTTTTCTGCTTTGCTTCTGATTAGCGAGAATACAAGTAACACAACTATTTATCACCTTGCCAATTTTATTCCTTAATTCAGTGATGGAATAGTCACATTGGATCAGGGTTTCAGTCTTTATTATCCCAAAATGACCAATGTGGTGTACATTCCTTATCACTTCATACTGCATCTTACATGGAACCACAAGTAAATTTTGGCCATTGTGAATCTCATATATCAGTCCTCCGACTATAGTGAAAGTTTGATCATCGTTAGTTATCTGTTGTATGCGGAGATCTTCTGGTTGAGCAACTCATAGTCGTGCTAAGAATTCACTGTAGATTTCTAATCTATGGTAATGTCATTTATAACCATATTAAGATTATTTTCTTTAGGTTGTAAGTACATTTCCTTGAAGTTATTATTTATTCAAGAAAAAATAGCCCTAATATAAATTTTAATAATAAAATTAAATATGTATATTCTTTTGTGCTATTATTATTTTTTATTTATAAAACTACAAATATTATATTATAATAGTATATTAAATATCAATAAATAATTAATGTTTTATTATTAGAAATTCCTGATATCACTGCAAAAGATTCTAATAAATTGGGTGAACGTTTCACGGAAATATTCATAAAAAAACAAGAAAATGTTGGACTAGTTTTGGATTATCTAGAAGAATTTGATTTTCATGTACGGTGGCCAGCACTTCAATTATTGTTATTGTTACTCACAAATAAGTAAGTAAAAAGTAATAATAAATACTATACAACTATATTTTATAGATTTGAATCATTTAATTTAAAACTTTAATGATTAAAGTTAAATACAATTTTTTTTAATTTGAAAAAATTGTATTTATTTTTTTGTTAAATTTTTATTATTTATATTTAAATTTCATTTTTATTTATTTATTTGATTATTAATATTTTTCTAATACAGTAATTTTCAAAATAATTTATAAAAAAACATAATTTTTATAATTAAACATTTGAATGCAACTTTTTAAATATTTAATATTTTTTCTCATTTAAAATATTTATTCTAATAAAAAATGATAATATAAGAACTTACAAATTGTTTTAATACTTCAATTTATTTATTTTAAATAATATTACACTATAAAAAATACTAAATATATTTAAATTTTTATGTTATCTTCTTATCTTCTTTTGTTTTGTTATTTTTTTTAAATCTATAAAGTTAAAATTTTCTTAATAATAATAGAGCCAAAGATGTTCAAGAAATAATTTTGGTCAGTCCAATGGGAGTTTCAAAACTAATTGACATGTTGAGTGACAGCCGGGAAGTTATCCGAAATAATGTAAGTTTTTTTTATTCAAAAGCCATTTATTTTTTATTTCAGCCTATTTTTTAAGTTATAAGGAAATAAAAACTAAAATAAACATAGGAAACATTTTTTAAACATGTTTTTTTTATCAATTTCTCCTCTTATGATAGTTAAAAACTAATTTAAAAATGACCAAATATAATAAACCTATTATTAAAAATATCCATATTGGTTATTTCTTTGAGATGTATGAAATTAAAGTCATAAATAATGAAATATAAAATATTTTATGTATTAAAAAATAAATTGAATTTATATAATCATAGATAACAATAAAAAAAAAAATTAAATGTATATTAATAGATTTACAATCAACAAATGTGTTTTCAATCTAAGCTATGTATTAATATTATGAATTTGTGATTTTATTTTATAAAAATATATTTATTAATGGATGTATCTAATATATATTTAATGACTTACCAATTTTATTTGATAATTGTGTTGTTTTATTTTCAACCAATAAGCCTTTTATGAACTAAATCATTTTTTGGTTTAAAAAAAGTTATTTTGTCAATAAGATTATATAATTAAGTTTTTAACTATAGATAATTAACAGTTTAAAAAATATATATATTTTTTTAATTAATTTTTTTAATAACTTTTTTTAATAAATTATATTTTATTTTAGTCTGTTCTTTTGTTAACATTGCTAACCAAGAGCAATGCAAATATTCAAAAGATATTAGCATTTGAAAATGCTTTTGATCGACTTTTTGATGTTATACTGGAAGAAGGGAATGCAGATGGAGGAATAGTTGTTCAAGATTGTCTAAATTTTATGCTGACTTTATTGAGAAACAATATTTCAACCCAAAATTTCTTCAAAGAAGGTCAGTTCTTTTCAATAATAATTATAAATAAAATAAATAAATGCTTAGCTTGGAGTAGTATAATATTTGTATTGTACGATTGGTTTTAAATTAAAAATATAATAATACTACAGGCCAGGCTAAGCATTTATTTATTTATATATTAATTTACGAGTTTTAAAAATGTACTCATTTATTTTTTTTTACTTTATTAAAAATTATAAATGTTAAATCAAAGTATATTTTATTCTTAAGGTAATTTCATATCGAGAATACTTCCGCTTCTACAATTGCCAGCTAACGATGAATGGCCAATACAGAGAATTAATAATGTACATGCTGTTCTTCAAATTATTCGTACTCTGGTGTCTCCTACAAATCCAGCTCAAGCTACTTCTTCATGTCAACAAGCTATGCACACATCAGGAATCCTAAAAGCTATGTGTGATTTGTTGGTTGCAAATGGTGTGCCTAGGAATCCATTGACTGAAGCAATAAGTACTGTAGCGGAACTGGTACGTGGACATAATGATAATCAGTCATACCTGGAAGCAGTTAAATCAAATGGAATCCCTTCAAAGTATGTATACATTATTAATCTTTATTGTTGTTACTAATTTTACATTTTTTTAATTTCTAGAGATGTTTTGGTGTTACTGTTGTGGTCAATGTTAAATGATAAACAGCCATTTGAGATGCGTTGCGCGGTATTATACTGTTTTCAGTGTTATTTGTATAGAAATGATTTTGGAAAAATGAAAATCATACAAAAACTATTACCATTAGAAAAAGAAGGTTAATACTTTTACTCTTTATTTCTGTTTTAATTGTAAACAATTTTTTTAGTATTCTCTATATTTCCTTATTCCTCATTTACAGTAACTGAAACTTGTGCCAGTCATCTTTTGTGTCAGGGTTTATTCAGCAAGGAATCATTGAGCAGCTGGTTTGCTGCAGTAGCACTATCATATGCTCTTATCGACAACCCTGATGGCAAAGAAAAGCTATTGAATGTAAAGCTGGCATCCAATGATCCAAATCCACCAACATTACTTCAGCAGATTGTCAGTTCTATACAAACAGTATGTTATATGAATATTTCATTATCAGGGCTTGGAATTTTTATGCTAAAAAAACTATGATATCCATGTTCAAGGATACATAAAAAAAAGTATTATATGTAATGAGTATTAGGATAAAATGTAAAAAAAAATTTTTTTCTTAAATTAACAGTTAAATAAAGTTAACTGCCAATGTTTATTAAATAAGTAAACTGATAAAAAAATAGAAATAGATAAAAATAAACATTTGATAATAGAATATTTAAAAATGAATTGTTTATATTCAAAGTAACTAACTAAAAATTAAAATTAAAAATTATAAATTAACATACTCAAAGAGAATATAAATATACATTTTTAATTAATATTTTATTTCTTTGTCTGACTTAAATCTTAGTTCTGAGGGACTGACTAGTATTGTTGTTGTATAGAATTTGCTAAATCATATTTCGCTCAAAGTTAGGTTTCATATTTATTAAATTATAAAATACAATCACATCATTAATACATTTACAATCTTTTCTTATATTAACTCTAGAAATTAATAATTTATAAATATTCTTATAATGGTTTAATGTAATAAATGTATGTAATGTTAAATGTATATATCAAATCACTTAGCAAGATAATGACTACTTTATTTACAAATTTCTGCCGCCAGTTGGTTAATTGTAAATTTTTTACATAACCATGATTTAACATGATGTATTAAGTACTTTATAAAGGAATAAAATGAAATTAATTAAAGTATACATTTCTTTATCTTTAAATTAATAAAATACGCAAATGTGTTCTTGAAGTTTTTCCAAAATGTAATGAAGTAATATGTAACAACTAATTTTTAATTTTTTCCAGACTGATAAAGCACAGTTTAAAATTGGCCATTTGATGTTTTTATCTACTTGGTTTTCTCATTGTTCATTGGCTGTTGAAAGTTTCTTGAAAATTAACAATGGTATACCATACTTCATCACCCAGGTATGTACTATTTTTTATGATAATTGAGTGACTGTAATAATTAAGACTGAAGTGCTATTAAAAATATAATTTTAATATCAATTTATGTATTTTATATAATATTGGCTTGACTGAATCATCACAGTAATTAGTATTAGTAATTGTATTGTGGTAAAATATATAATACTAATACAATTTTATCAGTAGATAAATTAAAAAGTAATTTAATAATATTATGTTTCAATATAGCAATACATTTTTATAAATTAAATTTTTTGAATATGTATTTCATTAATTCATTGTAAATTAATGAAAAATAAGTTATTCTGAATTAACTTAATATAGGAGTTAATATTTTAACATCAATAACAATATTGTAAATTTTGGTTTGTTTTATACAAAAATAATTGTTCGGTATTTAAAATAAGGTACTAATTTAATATTCAGAAAAATTCATTGTAGCATCAGTAATAAAACTAAAACAAAGAATCCATTAATGAATCTTTTTTATTATTATGTCAGATGTGTATTTATTAACATATTTGTGCTTGCATCTTAACTTACATTTTTTGAAGGATTAAGTTAAAATCTAAAAAGTTACTGCAAGAAACTTTCAATGCATTTATAGTTTTTACTACCAGACTAAAAACACAACAAAATACTAGGGGCAGTTTTTTCTTCATAATTTAAAAACTAATAGTAACTTTAATTTAATTTAAAAAATAATCAAAAACAATAAACATTTTATGTGTTTTGTTATGATCATCAGCAGATTTAATCACTCACATAATTAGTATACTCTTTTTATGTTTCTACATGAAATAATAACATAAATTAAACAAGCTATACGATACAGTTGAGTGATTTGAATTGTTTTTAATTTATATGTGTACTAAATTTTTGTTACTTTACATAACATGTACATTTTTTAAAAACTATTTTGGTATAATTTATAACATTTTATTTGAAATAACTTATTATTTTATGCAGCTTATTTGCCAAAACCTGGTACTCTTTTGTTTTAATACTTAAGAAGCTTAGTACTTTTCGTAATCAATAGTAGTAAATTTATGGGCGGCCATTACAAATAAATATATATATATATATGTATTGAAAACTATAATAATTAAATTTAAATTAACTGAAAAATTAAGTGTGTAAAATGAATTATAAATGTGTATGTTTTTTTATGTCTACTTATGTAATTTATTATACAAAATAATTATTATAATTTGGGTTTTGATAACATGAGATATTTTATAAAAAAAAAATGTATTCAAAAAAAATTAGTATTGGGGTCCACGATTTCTAAAAATCTTTCACCAGGGGTCTGTGATCTACAAATGGTTAAGAACTGCTGGACTAGTTCATGAATAATGAATAATTTTAACTTATATACAATTTATACCTTAATCTTGATTATCAACATTTAAATCTGTAGTCTTATTATTAGATTTACCAGGCATAGGACTATTTAGACCATAAAGTTTAGGAGATTTCAACTCTAGCATTTTTATTGTGATTGGAATTTTAAGGGAAGGTTCTGCACCCCCCCCCCCCCTACACTCTTTGCAACATTTTTATTACGAGGACGTAATTTATATTATGTGAGCAAAACAATCAATTTTTTTCATATGTGGTTATTCAATACTTTTGTTTTGCCCCCTCCCACCCATAATTCCAACTAGTTTGTGCCTCAGTCAGGATTTAAATCAGTATTTTTTTGTTTGAGTTGTAAAATTCAATTTGTAATAGAAAATTTTTGACAGCAAACATCAGCATTTTTAAAAAACTGGTAGGTATAATTACATTATTTCCAATAATAACTTCTAATCAATTCAAAACATTGAAGTAAAAGTTATTAAAACATATTTATTTTATATATAATATTAAATATTTTATTTGTATAGAACAAATATATTGAATATTAGATATTAGAATAATATTTTTAGCGTGCCATGGACATGCTATCTCTGAACAATAGTATCAAAAATTATGTTCAACTAAAAATAATAAAATATTATTTATTTTTAACACAAAAGGCCACTTATTATATAAGCCAATTCACCAGGTATTGTCCCGATTACCTGGCGGGCCACTTCGCCCCGGTTTTCAATATTATGGTATAGTTAAATACGTACGAAACAATATTTTTTAAAATATTTATATCCGTTTTATTAAATTGAAAAATACAAATGTCTATCATATCAAGTAACGGTTCTTTGATGTGTTTTTAAGCATTTTAGTTTTGACATAACATCGTTCGTTTTGCCAAAGTTCACATTTTGTTCAAACAAATTATCTAAAACTATATAAAATCACCGACCTTTTGGACACCGTTGTGACAATAGTATGTTTGGTTTATTAGTGTTTCATTATTTGGATAGCTTACTTAAATATAATTTGAATACCTCTACTGCTTAATACCAATAGGATATATATTTTATATAAATTAATGAACTATATTTTTTAAATTTATAGTATAAATAATCCGTAGTTATTTTTTTAACGGATTGAATACTGAGGTAGTCAAAATTGAAACAGTTAAAACTGTTTGAAACATTTATGTTTAGGATAATGTATCCATCGTCGTTTATGCTATAAAAAAAAAAAGATAACTGTACATCGATATTTTGTACATTCAGGTCATATAAATTGCTATTACTTGAAATTATCCAATTCTATTGAAGGCTTTTACGTAGTTTGCGCATGTATATACCTGTGGACAATATTGTGAAAAAATCACTTGACTCTTTAGTTGGACACAAAGCGCTGTACAATTTTTTTATTGCAAGTGCGCGTGCTCATCGCCTATGTGTTGACACACGAGGTTAAATGGGTCGCTGGTCGGTTCATTGAACACGCATCCGTTCACAACGACCGGTTATTAGTTAAGGGTCATAATGATTATGATAGTGTGTGTTAATGATTATTTTCGATTTCGATATAATTGTAACGTGTAGTTGTGTTAACTGACATTTGTTATTATTATTATTTTTTTTGTGTTTTGAAACTAATTTACCCGGTCATTATCGTTTCTCCGGTTTGTGATGAAAGAAAATAACATTTATATTTTTTTATGTTATAAAAATTTAACATAATTTTACACACCTTTGGGTGTGTTTTGGAAAAACTTTTTTTGACAAAAATATAGTCGCATACCGGAAAATACCTGGTAGTGGTCTTAGCTATAAGTTCGTATTGATATTTTTTGTTTAAAAACAATAATTCAAACACAATTTTTTTATTTCTATGGATTTTATTACATTTTCATTCAATAAAAATCCAAATTCAAAACAATTGATACACTTTTTTGTGTGACGTCTTATAATTAGTTAATTTAGTTTAAATAAGTAAATTTTACAATGAACGTAATACGGTTTAATCATTAAGTTGTATTGAATACAAACAATAATATAACAATACGGTTTTATGGTACTTACTCAATTTTTAAAAAAATATTGGAAAATCGAATTTGAAGATTGGATAAAAAAATCAATGTATATATTTTTAATTGTTATTACTTTTATTTTCTACATACTTTTAAAGATGAATAAAAAAATTTTTTTAATTTTTTTCAATGTATAAAACTTTATAAAAACAAATTGTTTTGAAGTTTTGGCCCGTTGTACTATTTAAAAAGCCTAAACAAATGACAATAGGTTAAGTATTTGTTACTATTACTGTTTGCACCTCCCCCCCCCTCAAAAATATCTGGATTTGTTCATGAATAATATGGAAAAATCACGACTTGCCTTTAATATTTAATAAAGTTATAATATAACCAGAAAGAGCTATTTTGAGAAATTCGTTTATCTTACTCAATTTTGTTTGCATACAAATTATTACAACTGATGGGTCTATATGTGCATATTTAGGCAAATCGTCTGGAAAATGAAGAAATCGAAGAAATTGTCAATGGCCTTAGTACGTTTGTGATGGGGATATGTCTCGCGTTTAACCCAGAAACTGTGGAAAACTTTAAAAAAGTAAATCTTTTAATATTAACTCATTGCATTTTTGGTATTGCGTCTTACGAGTTTTTTCTGTTTCTGTACAGGACAGTCTCAGGCATTTGATTACCAAACGGATAGGTGTGGAAACCTTCATGGACAAATTAAACGACGTTTCTAGAAACGAATCGTACACGAGAGCCAGCAAACATCCACAACCGACAGCTCAAAACCCTCAAAGTTTATTGTTGGATTACGAGTTTTGCAAGTTGTTCAAAATGCTAGAAGGTGCTTATATTTATTTTATATTACTTTATTATAATTGTTATGTTGTATAATGTAACAGATAATCACTACTTAATGCCAGTCTCACTCGATAGGCCTTAGTCCTCCATATTTATTCTTCCTAAAGCACAATCATTTGTTAGAAAATGTTTTATGATAAAATCGTTGCGCGTTAATTTGTACTCGTATATAGGTGAAAAAATGATTGCAAATTTGTAAAAATTCAAAATTTTATTTGTTTAACATAGGTATGATTATGAGAGCATTGAACACGCTACCAGGACAAGATGATGGTGAAAAATTGGTGTCCAATCAGAAGGAAATCGATGAACTGAAAGCTACCGTAGACGAATTAAAAACTGAACTAACTGAAAAGACCAATCGTATTGAAGAATTGTGCCGGCTGGCCAACGATTCTCGTGATGACACAGATCGCATGAAAACCGAAGTATGTAAACTTTTTTTCTAATTTTCTGAAAACTGTGTAATTCTTATTATTAATAACCCTTGTTTGTTGTATTGCAGTTGTTTAGACTCCAAGAAAATCACATAGCGCTAATGCATGCGTACCAACTTAAAGAAAATGAACTCGAATCCTACAGGCGTCTGCTCGCGATGCACGGGATTTGGGTAAGTCACATTAGATTGCGTATATGAAATGGTAAAACAGATGAGAGGACAGGGAAGTAGTTAAATTGTTGTAATCCATTTAACCGTATTTATTTATCTTGAATTTATTTATTTTATTTATCTTTATTATTTATTTATCTTAAGTATTTAGCATTGGCGAACGGTGTTGAATATACTATTTAAGTTATTTTTTTAAATTTAATATTTTTTAAAATGATACTTTTATGAAAATTCAGAATAACAAACATATAACTGTAATATCGGAATCCGTGTATCGTTTACTATACCGACCTTTTATAAGATAAACAGTATTTGTATTTTGTATAAATATTTTCATTATATTATTTTGGGTTAGGACGATAGTCACTCTAAATTTTCAGGATAGGCAGCTGTCTGTATTTTAAGGGGTAATGTATTCTTCAATTAAAAAAAAAACACATTTATTTTTTATGAATCTTATATTTTAAATACTCGTACATTATGAAATTAACTTTAATTGTTGGAATAGTTATAATTGTTCATGCATTTTTTTTAAATCTATTTTAGTAGGTTTATTATGAAGAATAGGTAAGTATATTAGTAATAAGCAGGGCTTGTAAGTTCATGCATTTGCATATTAATCTTGCAAAGTTGTATTTAATGCTAGATGATATAGAAATCCATTTCTAGGTACCACGGTTAAATATGTGAAATTTTATTTTGAATGTTTTTGTATGTTTGGTATATTTATGCATATTTCTATTTTATCGGGCATATTATACAACATTCTATTAAAATCTATCAAAAATCGAAATGGAAAATATAAATAAAATTAAGAAATAATATTCTTAAATATGAGTGTGCAGAAATCGAATAGCCAATATTAGTTTAAAATTATTGATTATTAAAGCATTTTCGTTGACTAATACTAATAGTAAAATAAAATAAATATAATGCCATATTTGTAAGTCACATATGGTTATTGATATTTTTAACTTAAAATAAGTTATAAAAATTGGTTGTTCGACTTTTTTTCCTGGTCATTAGTAAATATTTTGGCGTTTATTTTGATAATAAAACTTATTGAACATTTAAAAAAATGTTAAATCATGATTGATAAAATTCTAATTGCATCAATGAGTCTATACATCTAAAATATACGAGTTGTGATAGTATTGTATCGGGTAAGAATATATATGAAGTACGAGTAGTAGTGTATTTTAATTTTTTTTTTTTATTAGAAAGATAATAAATATATTTCGTTAATCTATCTTTGGATAGTTTTTGAATAAGTACGTACACAAGGAAATACTTCTTATGTACTCAAATATGCACTGAAACAGTATACACTTGATCTTGTATAATATATACTCAAACCACTTTATGATATAATGTGAGTAATGCTAAAGAGAAATGCAGTTAATACAGTAACTGTTATATTATGTGAAAATTGTCAAAAATAATTTATTAATCACAAAACTAATAGCATTTTTGAATTTCTAGCATAAATTTCCTTCTAATTCAGTCAAAAGGTGTACTTTAAGTTTTCAATCGAATAAAAAAAATTATAAAAACATAAAAGTTCAATTTCCCGAAAATGTGAATTTTGTAGTTACTGTTTTTCGCAGTAGCAGGGCAGTATAGTATAAACGTTTATGGGTTCACGTATGATGTATATTTTTCGACAAATCGCTATTGATACAATTTCTTGTTTGTCACTTTTCTTTTTAGTATAGTAGAAATGTAGAAAATAGAGTCGAGTGGAGATTTAAGATTAAGGTGGCTGACCATGAATAATTGGGAGAAAGACGATAGAGAAGAAGAAGAAGTCTTTTTAAGTATAGTAGACATTTTTCTGTTATAACATTTTTCTGTTATAATAAATGCAATGTTTCGTAATACTTTTACGATCGATGAAACGAAAAAAATACTGAACGGTTTAATCTAAACGATGTATACTTATAAATATATATAAATATATTTGAATGATTTTTATAAAAAAAAAAAAATTTAAATAAATTTTTCAATAAATAATTTCATAAATCATTCGTTTTAAACAAAATTATTTATAGCGAAACGCAATTAAAATGTCAAATAAAAAAAAATACTTTTGTAAACTATTCGTTTTTGATTTATGGATTTAATTTATAATTAACTATAAAAACATAACGATGTTGATGCACATGTGTATCAACAATAGCTAGTCAATGACTTATTACAAAAAATGGTTAGAAAAACATTTATTTTTGAAAATAAAAACCATTATAATACGTAATAACTAATTATTATCAAGTAAAGTTCATGATTTCAAAAATAAAAATTTAATTTTTAAGAAGCCCCATTTACATGTTTGGATTTCTGAATAATTTATGGTATTTATTATTATCACTATTATGACTAATATATATTATAAAGTGTCTCGTGTCTAGGGATGAAGGGGGACATAAATTATATCGGTGCAAAATAAAGCATTATTATAAATGAAAATGTTAAAATTAAATAATTAAAACCGAAAGTTTGGCATTTTATATGTAAACACATAAATTGAGATCAAAGTGGATTTAATTTTTAAGGCCTCCGATTATTCACCATTATTTACATTGATAAACCCGCTGTATAGATTAAACGTTAAGGTTTTTTTTATTTTATCAAATTAATTTGATTTATTATTTTTAACGTTTTAGGCTGTTGGACAAAATGAAATGGAATAATGCCGAGATATATGTTAGGATTGTAAACATCGCTGCTATTTAGCGGTTTAAACCTGAGGTATATAATGTAACCTATAATTCACGTTTGTATTTTTGGTCAAAACAAAAATTGCCAGTTCAATAATGAGAATTTCACATATAAAATGTTTGCAAACTTCGTACTTTGTGTCACTGCAGTAACTATAATTAAATATTATAAATTATCATAAATCATCGTTAATTTGATATATAAGCAGTGATGGGAAATTTTTTTTTTAGAAATTAGCTATTTCAAGTTGAAGTTCCAGACATTTAATATAATCTAATTCAAATTTTAGTTCACAATTTTTAAAATTAACTAGTTCAAGTTTATTTTCAAAATGAATTAATTCAAGATCATCATATTAAAATAAAAGTAAATAGTATGAGTATATAAGTATACTAAAATATACTACAATACATAGACAATATTACATTAGTATAGTACAGTGTTAATGCAAATTGAAAACCGTTAATATTTTTTCGCATAGCCATGCGTTTTGAATTTTATTTTTTGGTTGTTGTTATTTTATACTTTTTTAGTAATACTCATTTATATGGTTTCTATATTTTACTGTTCGCTAGAAATACTCATGCACTGTAAAACATATATAAATAAGATATATTTGACACTGAATTTGGATTTCCCTATTTTTTGATAACCTTAAAAATTAACATTTTTAAACCTGTGTAAAGTTTCTGATTGTGTAATTTATATATTGAATTTTATATTTTAGTTCTTTATTTTATTGATTTTATTGAGTATAGCACAATAGAAATTAATAATTATAATTGTATGCTTACATAATTGCATTGAACCAAAAACTTTATATTCATAAAATATAAGAACTTAGTTCACGCTCAAGTTCATTTCTTGAAAATCGAATACGCTCATGTATAGTTCACACAAAATAAACGCGTTCATATGAACGCTATATTATATATTATATTATTATATTGTTCATATGTTTATATGAACACGTTCTCATCACTTTTAATAAGTTACTATATTTAGGTTAAAATAATTAGCTAGTATGGTTGCTAACGTATTTTTAAAACACGTCGAATGAAATAACAAATAACGATTTGATCATTTGAACCAACCAGATATATCACCGCCGTTTTACATAAATAATTTAACAATATAGCTTATTTTATTATTCTATACTATTATTGATAGTATTACATAATTTCAAATTTATTATTATTAATAGTTATTAGTATTAACTTATTACCAATTACCATCGTCAATCAATCTTGGCGCTATTACCGTTTTTGAGTTATAGTCTAAAATGTGAATAATATATTCACATTTATATAAATAGGTAACAATTCATATGTGATAATAAATACTGCTTGTGATTTATACATTCACGTAGAATCCATCACCGGTGCCCATTACCCAACCAGCTACACACGAATTGCGTTCCGAAAAAAAAATTTTTATAAGTGGGGAAAAGAATTGCGTCCATCTTAATCTAAACGGCCACATGAATTGCGTCCGGTTTTATTTAAATGATTACAAGAAATGATTTTTTTGGCCTCCCATTTTTAAAACCAGATAAAGTAGAGGATTGTTTTACTGACGATATTCTATCGATTTTACCAGAAAATGAAAAAGTACAGAAATTTTCCGATGACATATAAATACTTACTTTAAACCTGATTGTGACCATCCAATTTTTGTGTGGACAATATATTCAAGTTTAATAATTCGAACTATGAATAATTTTAATATATACATATATATATATATATATATATATGTATGTATTTTCAAAGTTTAATAGTATGTTTTACTCAGTACACATGAATATATTCCAATTCATAAATGTTTTAAAAAATGTACATAAAGAAACTTATATTAAACAGCGAAGTATTCGTATAACTAAAAACAGACGGATGGTGGTATGCGAAAAAGAAGATTATTTAAGACGAAATATGGCAAAATATGAAAGTGGCCAATTATCCCGTCTTGATTATAATTAAGTTTTTACCAGTTTTTTAATTTTATATTTATATTTTATTTTTATTATTATTTATTTTAATTATTATATTACATCCCTATTGTTTAAACTTACACATTTTCATTTTAATTATTTCTAATAGTATAACAACGATAAAAATCAATATTTTTAACCTACTGATAGTCATAATATGCTATCGACAGTTCTAAGTCTGTATGAAATAGGAAGGAAAATAATGTTTTTACGTTGTCGGGACACAATTCGTGTAGTGGTTAAATATGGCTGGGACGCAATTTATGTGCAGCGACCCGAAATGTTAGATAAATGTACGTATACGTTACATTTGGTTTCAATAGAAGTTCAGGAAACATTACGATGTATACATTTATATATTAAAATCCTAACTAGTAATTAATCATTGTTATAAATAACACCCGCCTACACCCCGCTAAAATCAATCTAAATACCTACGCCGTTAAGTATGCTACACTAGAATTACACTATATTTCGGAGCAGTCTCGAGCTTAATGTCTAATTGATTTCTGAATTGTGAGAAGAATCTGTACAATAATCATGTATACTTATCGTCTGTGTATGGGTTTTACAATTATGTCGTGTTCTTCATCTTATGGTATAAAAATACTTGTTTAAACTTCGAAAATACGGAATAAAAATAATTTTTATTATTATATAATATATGTCAGTTGACCGAAATAAGTATAGACGAGAAGGTAGTCGCATAAGAGTACAAAATACATGAACGAGGAGGAATTAGAAGGAAATATAGTTCACCTGGATCTTATTAACGTTTGATCATTTCATTCGGACGAGTGTGTTAAACCGTATTGTAGCATAAAAGCAACTGATAATTTCTAATATATTTCACCTTAATGACGTATTACGTGCGTGTGATATATGCAGTCATGCAGGGAAAAAAATAAAAAAAAAAAATTATAAAACGTTTTTTTTCTGTGTGATAAATTCGTGCAATTCAGGCTTTTATCATTGCATACTTCATTGCAATCGTTTTTATTCACATTGTTTATTCTTTCGCATTTACCCGTTTTATTTACCCTAAGAACTTCTATCCATGCACAGTTTCGATTATAAACGATATTAAGTATATTTTGAACAAAAGTAAGAAAATCAAACGGAGTAAAAAAAGAACATCGTTATGTAACGATTAAAAACGACTTTAAATCGCGATAAACAGGTAGTCAGTGACCGCATAGGTCAGTAGTGCTCATCCCGCGGCCCGCGGACCACATGTGGCTCGTTACGAATTTTCTAAAATAAAAAAAATTTTTAAAAATGTATGAACATTTTTTGATTCATAATGCCGTTTGATATTAAATTCTTTAAAAACTGAAACAGTTCACGACACAAAAGACAAACGGCTTTTCCATTAATTTCAATGAAAAAGTAATTTATAGACCATTAAAAATTCGACAATCATCAATATATTTGCGTTTTTTTCTGTCTGACATTTTCATACGCAAACTTTACAATTAAATATCGATATCATCCGTGTACTTAAAATAACGTACTGATCAAACTAATGTGTACCTTAATTCATAATCTTTTCAATAGACAATAAAAGATAAGAAAAAAAGTCCAATATATAAGATTATTTTTGTACTTTTATACTTTGTGGCTCGCTTGAAGATAATTGTTTACCAAAGTGGCCAGCCAAAGGAAAAAGGTTGGACATCACTGGCATAGGTAGTATATATTGTGTATACGGTTCAAATATTTTTATCTTTAATCCTATGTTTCTCTTCCGTCCAGTCCTAAACTTAACGTTAGTATTGCGCGTTTGCGACTTAATAATACAATAATAAGTCATGGCACCATAGACATATAATGTCTATGTATGGCACCAGTACAACATAATAACAGTGCGCATTCTATGTACATATTGTTTTTCATAAACATTCTCTTATTCTGTGTTATTATATCCGTTGCACTCGTATTTGTTTACATAGAGGACGTGAAATTACAAATATAATATCATACAAAATTTGTAAGCATTGGAAAAGAACGACGCCGCTCTCCGTGTTGATGCACCCTGTTCAGCGATTGTGTTTTTTTTTCGGATTGATTCTATTTAATCGGATCACATTCTCATCCCCTCGAACGACAATGCGTGTGTATGATGCGGACACTCGTATATTGTTATATTATTTATTTTGTCACGATTCAGGGTCGGACGGGTGCCAAAAACATTTCGGTATAATAATATTTTATGTGCCCGCTGTACGTGTATGTAATAAAATTATATTTTCGACCGTGTATAAAACAATAATACACGTATACCTGCGTATGGAAAAGTATCAATATTAATTTCGGTTTTGCATAAATTATATTGCTATTATTATTATTATTATTAATTATTACACCCATTCGTTCATCACACAATGGTTTCGTCACCGCGATTTCGATTGAACGTTTATGGTGGTTGATGCATAGGACTAAAATACAAGACAACCGTATTGGTATGTAATATTAATAAGGCAATTTTCTGGCTTACTGTTTTATCTAAATTTAGCAACCTTGTTAAACTATAAACGATAAAGAATATAAAACATTTAAACTATATAAGATTTAATTTTTAATTTCTTACTACGTTACAATAATATTAATAACGATTAAAATCAATATATATATATTTATCGTGTAGACTTCTGTCGCCTTGGAACATATTTGGGTGTATTATATACATAAGGACGAAATGCTCTACGTGCATATTACTTAATGGGGTGATGTATGGCAGCAGCCTTTGTATATTATTAATCCTTTTGTATCGCTGACCCCATGTATTATTATGTACCGTGTGTCCATAGGTGGTGTACACAACCCCACACGTCAAAAGAATATATTTTGAATAATTTACAATTGATATAATAAACCGAATTACTGGGTTCGCTTGCGAGCAAAAGTGTACTTAGGTACGCGCCCCGCTTTAACAATGAAATAATAAGAATAAAACGTTCGTTAAGCCCGGCAAATAATTTTATAAACCATAACGGTTGGTCACAGAAAAAATGCGTTTATTCGATACTTACAGTATACGTCAACAGTATTGTAAAAATATCTTAAACTAGCGTACTCGGTTTATACGTATTTTAAACATTTATGAATTCTATTACCCCGATTATGTCGTTGGATTTATTCGTTTTTAACTGTTGTTGCTATGCTCGTTATCAGTATGAAATTTAAGTCATTCTCTTTGTTTTCCAGAACGAAAATCCTGACCAGCAGCAGCAGCAACACCAACACCATCCACAAGAATCGCCGATGTTCGGGGGAGGAGAATTCACGCCGCACCATCTGCAACAACAGCAAGAACCTACGACGGTAACAACAGGGGAAGAAAAAGTGTATCAACCGATGTTGAACGAACACGAAAGGAATGAATTAATCCGAAACGATTTGAACGTCTGAATATCGATGGACGTCACTCAACCTCTCGACGTATACATTACCACTGTGTCAACTCAACGATCGCCATCCCAACCCTTTTAACGAGTATTAAATTAATTATACGTACATTTAATGTGCCGCGGACGAGTTCGGTTTGTGTCCTAGTCGCATTAAAAAAATACGCATAATTGTACCGTGAACCGACAACTGCTTTGTCGTCTTGTATATTATATTAAATATGTATGTATTTATGTACACATATATTGTACTACAATGTAAATCGGGTATTTGTTTTTTTTTTTTTTTTTTTTAAAGAAAAAGTTTATTTATACGCCCTCTGTTTACTCCCGGTAAAACAAATCTTAATTTATTAGTATTACTATTATTATATGTTTTTTATCTGTTACGAAACTTTAAACGAATACTAACTTTATATATATTTTTTTCGTCTAGTAGTACGAGTTTATTTATTGTTGTTATCATAATTTTTTTATTTTATTGGACGTTTCCGTCCGCGGCCATCAATTACGCTCGCTCTCGCGCGCACGCACCGTCAATTGAACTTAATTACGCGCGCTTAGATACGTACTACTACGTCGACCTCTGCGCCACCGCCGCGCAACAACGAACAAATGAACTCGGCCAAACAACACAAATTGGTTTTCGCATCTCTCTGCTAATGTTCCGTGCTGAATATCTGGTGCGCTACAGCGCGTGTAAAACAAAGTAAAACGCTGGAACGCAAAGAGAGAAGGGTCTTCTAAACGTCTACGTGCTCACGCCAGAAAATATAAATAATAAAATTGACGTATATAGTATTGCGGCCGAGCCCGTGTTTCAATTATCTAATTTGTCCCGACGGGAGGGGTAGTACGCCATCAAAAACGGCTTAGTAAATTACATATTTTGACTTGTTCGTTAATTTATCGTTCTTATAATATGACCGTGTACCCCGTGCGTTTGTACACGTATACATAATATGTTTTACGCAACGTATTATATTGTTTTATCAATGTAGTTTTCATGGGTGACGGTTCCCCCTTTGCTGTCTTCACTGTAAGTACTCCAACTCTAGATAGTTGTATAAAATCCGAAAACTTTACACCAAACTTTTATTGTTACCATCAGTGTAAATACGCGACGTTTCCTGATTTTTCAAACCCATGTGTTTTTGTTTTGCCTTCAACGATAAGGCGTGACATGTACATTTCGCAATTAGATAGGAATAATACTTTATTGCAGTGTATACTGTACACCAGGGATCGTAAAATACCTTCTATTGGAGCCCGAAAGTTTTAAAACAATAAGCAAACGGGGTCTGGAAAAAAAATGTATTTTACTATTTACTAGTTGTTACTGAAATGTCTTTAAAAAAAAAATTACAATAATATTGATGATATATGACTGTAATATTAATTTAATAAATTAAGTGAAATATATATTTTTTATTTTTATTTATCATTTTAAAAATGAAATTAAAATAAGATTTATACATTGGTCCACTTGTCTGCTTTTCGTGGTCCGGATTTGGACTTGGATCCACCAGTTGCTGAATGTTTTTATACACCAGTGTTTCCAAATCTCTTTTTTTCTATGCCACACTTGTACATCTTAAAAAAATATCTAAGCCCCTCCTCAATAAATTTAAATATAAATAAGTTTATTTTTTTTTTTGCTTATTTTAAAACTGAAAACCTTTTTTTTTCTGTTTTCAAATTTGAATTTTAACAAGTAGTATAATTAAAACCGTTCGTTTGTTCATATTTTTTTCCCCTGTTTATGTAAATCTAAAAAAGTTATACTTCGTAATGGATGACTGTGTACGTCTCCCCAGCAGCGTCGGCACGTTCACCCCATCCCCGATTGGAAACCACTGCTAAATACAGCAGTGGTGTGCTGAACTAATTTTTGGTGAAGAGCAAAAATGTATATACCATAAGGTTAGGTTAACCTAATCTAACCTAACCCTTATTCATCCTAACGGCATTTCCGCCACAGCAAAACATAATCAATTTAAAAAATATACGTATATTAGACTGATTTGTATAATCAGATGTACTTACTTAATTATCTAGTAAATTTATTACACTCATTAATTATCTTGTATCTTGATCTATGCAGTGTATGTGAATTTTGAATAATGTTGTTAACATTGGTATTGCAATTAGTTAGTACTAATTGTTTCTAGTGTAACGGATCATATACAGTACATTTGTGCGCTAAATATTTACTATCAATTAAAATATTTAATTTTATGTTACGATATATCTATATTATTTTTATACTTATTGTCAAGCATTTTTTGGCAGGGGGACCACCCACCTACCAAACATTTTGAAGGAGCAATTGCTCCAAAATAATATTACCATGCCACTGAAATACAGCACAAGACGGACGTTTGGTTAACGTTAATCGATTGATAAATACTTTATGAATGCACCTCAACATACCTAGTACACGTAATAATGATGTAGCGTTCATTTATAAGTGTTGTAAATGACTATGCGTTTCTTTTTTGGGCTGGTAATAGCAAAGATATTATCTCCTGCCACTTTGGATTATTTGTTAACATTAGAAATAAAAAAAGGTCGTCCGCACCCGCGCCTGAAAGTCATAGCATCCTGTATATATTCTTGCATATGACGTGGACTGACTACGTATGTTGATGGTAGGATGATGGATTTACCAATTTCGGTGGTGTCTCCGTTATTGATAGCGTATTACTAGTGAATATAATCTTCCACATGCAGCCTTTTTTTTTTTTTTGTTTGTGTCGTAGGAATCGCAGTCGTTTGCTCTTTACCTTCGCGTACACGAATTATTGGCATATCTTACGATATTGCAGAATAAAGTTGTCCTGACCACGTCGAATCATCATACAATAGGCATAAAAATCTATCGAGCAAACTTTTTTGTTCGTTTCGGCTCCTGTAATAACATATTTATAAATATTAAATCAAAATGAGTAATGATGATCATAATGAATAAACTACCTATGGTGGGATCTCGTTGTTTAATTTTTATGCAATATCCGTCTTAATCTGTTCTTTCTGCTATATTATTTCACATGTGAGTTACTTTATTCGTTCGACGGCCCAAATGGGTCCCTTTGCGTTTTACTGTCATTGTTTATTGTAACACACACACAAATGGACAAAATTATTATACTTACTGAAAATAGGAGATAAAAGTGGGGTAGGAGGGTAAAAAATACTGTACGACCTATTCTCATATCTACCAAATATACAAAATTTTTTTTTATTAAAATCGATCGCGCCGTTTCAGAGGAGTACGACCACTACGATACCACGCAGAGATTATATGTAACTGTGTGTGTGTATATATATATGTGATTGTGTGTATTTAAAAATTATTGAAAAAAATAAAAACTAAAATAAATGCAAAGAATTGATAAAATGGTAAATTTTATTGTATAATTAAATATAATTTTGGCCCAACAATAAATAATAAATCAATAAAACTTACAAATTTGTGGAACGCAGACTGGCTAGTTGGTACTATCTAAAAAACTTTATATAATCCGGACAAAAATGTATTAAATAATAAAAATATGTTTGCTAGTACACACACGAAATTAAAATAATAATAAACCAACTGTGGCGATTTACTCACGTGTAATTATAATAATAGATGATAAACAAATCCGTGGTGATTTGCGCCTACGATAATAAAATGAAAATTCGAATATAAAAAATAGAAAGGCGATTAGCGCACATGAAACAATAATGTTAACTATGGCGATTCGCGTCTACAAAATATAATAATTTAAGTAGCGATTTACGTATTGCCTGGTGGTTTATACAAGACGAGTGGAAAAATCACATACGAAAATTACAATAAAACACACACATATCGCGATTACATAATTCTGAATATCCATAGAAAACGATAAACAGATATTTAAATTATAACAGGTGCGTGTGTGTCTGTGGATACGTCGGATCATTAGGAAGGTCGATGGTGATTTGGCCGGGTCGTCGACTGATAATCGATGTTATAGCGGCCATTACGATTTTTAAAAATACATTAAATTATTGTTGCCATTATCGGGCGGTAACGGTATCAGTTGACCACGAAAAAAAACTGAATTTTGAGCGGTACGAGAAAAAAAGTTAGTCAACCATCGTGTACAAATCCGTTTTCGGTTATTTGTATTACAATCGATACTATAGGCGTTCATAGTGTTATTAGATATATTAGTATAAATATGCCGAGAACATTTTACTGGGTCTTGCGGATAGTGCTCTGACGAAATTATTACGAAATTGGCAATCGCGCACATAATTTTAACATGGGCTAATAAATTCGTAGTACTGTTTCGATTACTGCATAAAAGTTGTGTACCAGTTGACGTGTGTGAATTCCAACATAAGGGGAAAACGCGTTTTACGAAGGAATGGTATATTGTAGAGAAAGAGGTGTGCAGAGTCTGAGAAGTGGAAGTCGAAAGGAATCAATACGAGAAAAAATGAAAGAAAAAACAACCTTCACATTTTTAGAGGGTAAAACAGTTTCGACAAAACGTACAGTCCTAACGTTATGGTTCTGTATGCGAGCAGTCGTACACGTAAAAGACCGAGGTGGGCAGTGGTGGTGGTGTGAGTTTTGAACATTAAATTAGTAAATTTTACTTTTCTAAGATGACGTGCACTCTCAGCACTCGTCAGCTATACAATGATCAGTAACAATTCAAAAAACCGATCTTTACGTTTGCGAGCGTGTGATGATTGATTAGATTCGATCATTCGACTTAAAATCATGTAATATACACGTCTTTTGAATTGAAGTAGTCGTTCGCAGATATACGTAAGTGCGGCTAATCGCTACTGCGCTGGTTGTTGTCACGTCTAATCAGCGTGTTGTGGCTGCGTATAGAAGTGGTCGGCAACGGTCGAAAAATGCGAATAGAAAATACGTACATGCGTATGAATAGTGTAATAACGGTTTGAAATCGAAAACATACACTTAGGCAAAGAGAGGTTTTCGATGTGATTACGCCGCTGGAGACAATTTTATTAAACATTTGGTATATGCACGCAATTAATATTATAATAATAGAACAAAAAGTTATCGCATTAACGGTATATTCGTAGGTGTTCGTAGGTATGTGTTGAAATTAAAGGGAAAAAATCCAGACTACGAAAAATTAGTGTAATACATTTTAAACGTTTCGCGCACGATCAAAACCGTTAGGTGGGTGGTAAAATATCACTGAACTAGAACCGGATTCAAGTTTTGGGACACCAGGATTCAACTGCTAATTAGATGCTCCTTAAAAAAATAGAGAAGTCTTACCTTTTGATTTGATATAATTGTCAAAATGGAATAATAACACGAACGGAATGAAAATAAATCAATGTCCTACGAACAATTTTATGATTTTGTTTAACATTCGTGTTACATGAACAATAATTATTCAACATTGGTTATTGAAATGTATTGTATAACTTACTGTTTTATGGCATTAAGAAAATCTATGTATCGCGTTGCACCCCTTCTAAATCCGTCACTGAGGGAGGGGGTATGCAGGGCCGTTCTGAAGAGGGGTCTTGGGGGGGGGTGTCTCACACCTTCCCAACAAAAACACCAGTCGGCAGTCGGAATTGTTTCATTATAGCCTAGATGGACTTAATTTTACTTAAGGAAAACAAATATTACATATTTCTTAATACAGTGTATACACGAATACAATTTATATAATTACTTATTATACAATATAAAATATTATATATATATATAATTAAATTGTCAATTTTAAGAACGTGCGACACTGACACATATATACATGTTAAAAAGTAAAAATACGACTACATATAGTTAATTATACTACATATATTGAGTAAAAAAATTGCAGTCGGCATTTTTCATATTATTCACCCCCCCCTCCCTTGATTTTCATCTTCGGGACGGCTATGAGGGTATGCCGTTTGATAACCCGAAGAGTATTTTCCGCAACCGCGACGTCCAACGCGGACAATATGAGTGTTGGGAAACGGGCATTTATCATCTCACAATTAATTCGAGTGCATACATGTTTTGTCAAATGAACAGCGAATATACGTTGCGGGTTCATTGGGAAAAAAACATTGCGTTGGAAACATTGCATGGAACGAGCGAATATTAATAGCATCGACGAATTTTCGGCACTCTTCTACTATTCATTATTCCCAATCACTTATGGTAGTTACCACCACTGACTGTGCTACAGTAAAATATAGTTACGACTGAAAGGGTAACAAGTAACAATACATATGTCTCTCGAGTTCACCATCGTCGCTACCCAAAACTTATTATGATTATGCGACCAACTGTGCGTTATATATTATTTTTCACATAGCCTTTTGAATATTAAATTTAATATTGCGCCTGTTGGGAGTGGGGTGGATTGTCCGCTATGTGTTATGCCCCTGGAAATCACTCATACGCATCAGCAGTGCAAATACATCAGTTATTGATTATTTGTATTGGTTCTAAAGTTTCCTGTGACGTTCTTTTGATAATAATGTTGTTCGAAAAGTTCGAGACGTTCATGACACAACGTACGACAAGCTATGGCGCGAAAATTCAAACAATTGTGGTGTTTGAACAAATATTTTACCGTACATAGTTGAAATTCAAATGGATTAGTTAATTATATAATTGTAAAACATGCTTGTATGAAAATTGAGAGTAAAAAAACTGAATTCAATATTTATTTTATCTAAAAATACTTTTAAAAAGCCACACTTGTAGATAAAAAATATACTCTGGTGTTCGTCAAAATAAATAAATTAGTAATGCCATATCTTAAATTTATACGTAATAGAAAAAAAATTGACCGTACCTAAAAGAGTACCGTATCAACAAAATAAATGGCTAGCTCATCACTTAAGTAATCTTAAGTAATACTTAACTAACCTCTAATTGAAAGTTCTAATTTCACTAGTTACATTGAACAAATAATAGCTATTAATTATTTAACATTGTTTTATTTCTATAAAAATTATAAAAATAATTTAATACCTTACACAATATTTACATATTTTTAAAAAAGAATTACACGTGTTATAATATAGTGTACTTGGTGTTATACAAGCAGCAATAGATTTTTATTATGTTTTAAAACTATAGTCTATTTTTTACATGAGTGTAAGCATATAAAAACTTTTCGGATTAGAGTTTTTCATATATAAAGGTACACGATTTAACATTATATTTTCATCCAAAATTTATGACTTTTGTTGATAAATAATTTTGAAAAACAATTGATCAGATTGAAGAAAAAACCATTATTTTAAGTAAAGTTCTTCTGTATCATATTTCCTACCCAACAAGGTACAATATTATAATATTAGACTTTTTGTGTGGATCAATAAATGTCATTTTAAAATCGATTAATTCCTAATTTTATTCGAATTCTTAAAAAAAGGAACGGTGGCACAAACTACAGTTTGGGTTAAAAGTAAAACATTGATTTCCGAGGTCTTTTCACGAACGGTCGAACGGTCCATCACACATACAATTAAAAATAGAATTATTCATATTTAAACCAAGCTCGTCGTTTTTGTCGAAATGTGCGCCACTCATGTTAAAAAACATCCAACAGCAGAGTGAAATAAAAACGTACTGCCGTACGAAGAAGTCACTGTATTGCAGGTGTCTGGCTGTCTAGGTGATAGGAGATTTTATATTCTAAGGAATTTATGGAACGTAAATTTTACGTAATGTGATATGCGAAATGCGATTAGGTACAATTGTCCCTTGAACGACGAATCGCGTATGGTACCAAAAAAAAAAAAAAAAATTGTGTGTTAGGATGATCCCGGGGAGAAAAAATTAATGTGAGAAATTATGACGATTGATTAGACACATATATAAATTTACCAGAAACTCATATTAAACATTTTACGTAACGTGAATATAATATTAGGTAAATCGAAAATTAAAGTCCTACGGACGGATCTTTATTATTTTTATTACAGTTATACACAAAGGTCAAAGTAATGAAGGGATATAAAAAGGGATGCTGCTATTTTTTAGATTATATTTTTTATCCTTTTACTTCATTTTTTTATGTGTAAGTATAACATACATAGAAAATAATCCATACTGAAGTTTTAAAAACTTTTGCAAATCAAGAAATGGTATAGTAATTTCTTTTTACTTTTTATTTATTTTTATTTTTATAAATATATTTCTCTGTAAGCCATTATCCCAATGAAAACCGGAATTATGTTCACATTAGGATTTTTCACATATTTACGATTTATGTTAAAAAAAACCATTCATTATTGTCCCAGAAGCTTATTAAAATTATGTTTGCATACAATGTGAATCATAACTCAATTAAGATTAATTTAAGAATACTCTAAAATGTTCTAGACTTTTTACTTTTTAAAAATCTCATTCAAAAACTGCAGGTTATATATTTTAGGAAAAATAAGATGAGCTCCTTATAGACTTAGATGTACTGGACGATGGACGAATAAAATTGTCCAGAAAAATATAATATTCAATATATAGATAAAAGTGTAAGGAGGTTTGCATCGAAATGTTGAGTAGATCAAATATCTACAGTTTGAGGTTTTCGTGAATTTAAGGACTCAAACAATTTATAATTTGTTGATTCGTTAAAATCATTATTAATTGCAAAAATTTAATAGCAATTTTTTGTTCAAAGGAAAAAAGATTTTTAACATAATGAACAACATAATTACTTGGAAAAGAAATACATTAAAGCTTAAGAAATTATCATCATTGTTAATAATACAATGTTTTGCATAACCCAAAAATAGTTATATTCCATGTAACTAGGTAAGATTTTTGATTATTAGTAGTAAAATATATGCGGAAGCTTGTCAGAAAATAATCACATTGGAAAATAAATTACATACTTATCATAATTGACGTAACTACTATACTATATAGGAGTACTTTTGTATATTTATTTTTGAATTTGTTATAATATTATTTATAATTTATTATCGTATGTATTTATTTATATTAACAACACTAATATCACAATAATTTTTATGTAATTAATACAATTGGTATTGAGGATTTAACTAACGTATAAAATGTGATGGTAACGTTATTTTTTTAAAAAGCAAACAGAATTCCCTTACTTCAATTTTATCAATCTGAGTACTGGATATTTATAATCAATAATTATAAAATTTAAAAAAAAGATTGTGAACGTATAAAGTAGTCAACCGTGTGTAAAAATAATTATAAAGCAAACGATTAGAAGAAAGTAATACTACCAAAATAAAATAATTTATATAGTATTAACTATTCATGAGTTGTGTTATGATATTAATTCGATATACCAACCCGATAGTTTTTCATAGACCGCCGGTTATTTCCTTTTCGATAATTGCATATTTCAGACTGTCAATCTCTAGAATTCGAGCCGCTGGTCGTTAATCATTATTCAAATTTTTGTGGAAATCAACATCCTAGGAGTTATAAGACGAGGTAGTTTATAGCGGGGTGGAAGAGGCGTTTTCCGACGGATGGCAAGCAGGACGATATAAGTTTATTTTGACTTAGACTTACAACAAGTATACTTTTCGCGTTCGACTGAAAAATCGTAAAATTCTACTAGCTCAACAAGATCGTATGTATCACTATTATAATTGATGATTTGCGAGGAAAGCGTTTAAAGTATTTAATTTTTAAAATATCAAACTTTCAAGAGAAAGAACAAAGACGTTTACAAGAACATAAATAAAAACATATATACTTTTATTACCATTTGGTAAACAAAGGAGCGTATGATTTTCGAATACTATAGTTATTTGAAAAATCCCGTCGTTGGCTACAATAATATTGTTATGATTTCTAATACTTACCGATTCGTTGCCTTTTGTGTAAATATTATTCTATAAATAATACATTTATTACATTACATTTATGTACATTTATCACGTAAATTACATTTACGCTTAAGATGTTTTCGAAAAGTTCACTACTTAAATTGGTGAAAAATACGATTGGAAACAAACGTAACTTATGGAAATGGGTCGCAGATTCATTTAACCAGTAAGTGTTTTCACTCCCAAATCAAATGATTCAAAGAAAATTATTTACTTTATAGTTGATGTGATTTATGTGTTTTTATGTTATTTTTTCAAACGAAGATTTGACGAAGAACGCGCTAAAGAAATTGGTCCTAATTTAGCATGCGCTGAATGGCTAATGAAAAATGGTGCCAAAGTGCGGTGTAAAGGCTGCAGAGAATTCGTAAGCCATTACGATTGTTTACCAACTAGATATGATGTTCTTGGCCAGTTCAAAATCGAGCAAGTTTATGCTGGAGAAGAAGCTTCTATATCACATATAGGATTTACTCACTTTAGTGTGTATACATTAATACAGCAATTTTGATTACTTCTCCTTTGTCCTGCTGTAACTTAATAATTCTCAATTACCTTCAGAGGTCGTATGTACATAAAATATTTTTGGATTAAATAATAATTGTCAGTATTTATACAAGGCATTTACATCAAAGGTTTTATATATAACTTAATGTCAATAAAATTTTTTATTTATTAATTTTTTTATAAATTTCATAAAACCTATTTTTTGTTTTTAAAATACCTAGTATATTTTACACAGGTGGAAATAAAAGACATCCTGAAAAATATTTTAAATATTTTTGTAAGCACCACATACAATTTGATAAGGTAGTGTGATTAAAATTTTTTTTAAAATTACAATTCTAGTTGTATTGTGTTTTGTGTTACTCAATCCATAGTTCCACATAACATGTGCAATATGCTTAATATCTGAGATGTAAGTGCCTAACTTAAAAAGTTTATGTAAATAAAATATTTAATGGCATATAAAATATTTAGCTTACCTAATGAGATTTAAAATAAAAACGTTATTGTTAAAAGTCATTGGATGGATAATTATTTTACTTATTAGTAATATTCGTTTATCATGACTACTTTGTTCAAATGAAAATATTTTACATTAAATTTTATTTGACATTATAAAAATGTCGATAATTAAAAGTAGAGGGAAAACGATGAAAGAGAACACAATTAAATTTAGGAAGTTACATAGAGTTGGAGTTAAACGCGTATTATTTATATTTAATTTACAGGAGACTGCAATAATATTTTGGATATAGCATTTGTTCGATGTAGTACAATCGATAATGAGGCGATACAAAAGCTTCAGATATTAAAAGATAGTTTAAAATCTTTAAAAATTGATAGTTGTGAAAATGTTTTTAACGAAGGAATAATAGAATTAGAACATCTTCAGTAAGAATAAAAAATATATATATACAGCCATTAATTATTAATATTTTTCTATTTTTAGGGCATTGAAATATTTAGAATTGAAAAACGTACAATTAGAAAATGAAATGAAAATAATTAATCATCTGAAATTGAAGTTGCAGAATTGCAATATTGTTTACAATGACGAAAAATAGAATAGTAGAAGAAATGATTAAGAAATTACTAAACCTCTTTGGTCTTGTTCATTCTGATTTACTATTTATAATAAACATTTTGTTTAATTTGATTTAAAATTATTTTAATATTTCCTTTTTTTTTTTTTTTTTTTTTTTATTGGTGCCATTGGCGGATTTACGGGGGGACCATGGGGTCTGGACCCCCTCCCAGATGCCGATTTTATCTTAAATATCTGTATAAAATTAATATAACAATGTAGTATAAAATGTTGAAATATAATAATTTAAATTTTTTATAAATTTTTTATAAATGTATCATCAATCATCTTATCTTGTAATAATAATGTACGACTCGAATCACATTCTGTTTCAAACGATTTGTACATGGGAAATCCCGAATCAAACACGACTTATTATTGTACAGCACTTATGAGTCATGATATCACTGTATTTTCGATGGTGCATTGATATATTTATTTATATTTCAATTTTATCATTATGGCAATGATTGACTGACGATAGTCGTGTATTATATGGATTGTATTCTATGATTACATTCGACATACTGGCATTGACAAACACGGTCACGTGGTAATCAAAAACGGGAAAAAGTAATTCGTAAATTATTTGTTTTAAATAAAATGTCTTCGAAAAAACAGACATCTATTCAACATTTTTTTTCAAAACCTACTGGAAAAACTGATTTATCTAATGTTATTCAAAATGATATGTTAGAAAAAAGTATATTATCTAAGAGAACAGTTTCTTCTAATAATGATTTTTCGCACAATGATATTAGTAGTCCAAAAAAAGTTAAATTAGATTTTACAAAACCGTCTTAGTCCTTAACTCATAGCAATTATGATATCAGTTTATTTTGTAATAAGATATTTTCACAAAATCAAATCAATGACGTGTTAAATAAAGTTAAGGCACCGGAAATAAATTATAAATTTCCAATAAAATCTATTATTTCTGGCAAAGATAAAAAATTAAAAAATCTTAAATTTCAATATGCGTGGTTAATGCGATTTCCGTGGTTGTCGTATTCAGCAATACAAGAAGGTGCATTTTGCAAATTTTGTGTAGCATTTACAAAATGTGAAGGTGGAGTTAACTCTCAAGTATTAGGTAGTTTCGTGTTAAAAAAATTTGATAACTGGAGATATGCGGTTGAAACATTTAATAAACATTCGTCATTAGAATATTACAAAAAATGTCTCCTTGATGCTGCTAATTATTCAGAAGTTTTATTAAACCCAAGCACGTCTATTGACCAAAAAGTAATTACCGGAAGGGCTAAACATATTACTGAAAACAGAAATAAAATTATACCAATAATTGAAACTATTATTTTATGTGGGCGTCAAAACATTTTGATCGACGAGGTCATCGTGACAGATTTGTTTTTGCCAAATCTGATGATAATCTACAAACAAATTAAGGTAATTTTCGAGAAATTCTCCGTTTTTGAGCTCAAGGAGATTTCAACTTAAAACAATTTTTAGAAGGTAAAAGGACAATTAAATACATGAGCAAGACAAGTCAAAATTCAATTATTGACTCTTGTAATTCTGTTTTACTCGAAAAAATTGTATCACGTGTAAATGATGCTCAATGCTTCGCAATTCTAGCTGATGAAACAGCTGATATTTCGAGCGTGGAACAAGTTTCCCTCTGTGTTAGATTTGCTGATTTAAAAAAACTTGTTCTTTGTGAAGAGTATTTACAATTTGTACCTGCTCATGACACCACAAGTAAAGGTTTGGCAAACTTATTGGAAAACAAATTATTAAAAAATTAAAAATTTATTATTAAAAAATAATGCCTTTGAAATACATATTATTTTTCAGGACCCCCTCCAAGAAAATGTTGAAAATCCGCCACTGATTGGTGCTATATAAATAGAAATTAATATTGCTATACGAAATTCGTTAAATTATTATTCATCTTTAACGTTTTATTGTTCTATCATTACTATCGTAACAATTGCAACACCCAGGAAAATATATAGGCGATTTGAATTCCCATAGTTTAGAATGGGGATACTCAAGTGCAGACAAAAACGGTGAAAAGTTAGTAAACTGGTCCCTCGTTGGTCACAAACATTTAGTATATGACGCCAAGCAAGGAGGTACCTTTGAAGCAGGTAGGTGGGGCACAATTACCTCTCCAGACTTGTGCTTTGTTACAAAATATGACTTTGACCTGCCATTGAAAGTAAATCACAAAGTTTTAAGCAAATTCCCGAAAAGCTAACATCGACCAGTCATAGTATAAACTGGAGTAATTTTCCCTAGAATAGAAAAATCAGAACTGCCAAGATGAAATCTACGAAAGGCAGACTGGTCCAAGTATGAAAAATACATAGAAGAAAACGTAAATCGTATCAATTCAACTCCTGAAAAATACGTAAGGTTCATCATACTAACTAAAATTGCAGCCTCAAAAGCTATACCCAGATGACACAGACAAAATGACGTCCCATGCTGGTCACAAGAATGCGAGCTACTTTACAGACTGACGAATCTCCTAAAAGAAGAAAGATGCAAAAGATGATTAACAGCAATGCAAGAGCTCGATTTCACGCACTCAAGCAGAAGAAGCTGGGCTCTTCTGAGGAATATAGGAAGTACTCAACCAGTCAGGAAAGAAAAAAGAGTCACAGCAAATGACATTTTAAACATTCTTTTCAAAACATCAAATATCAAACCTAACAAACAAGAAAAGTCACAAGCGAAAACATCTTACGCAAGAGAACTAAAGCACTGCGAACTCACAACAACACTAATAGAAACTAGATGACACAAAAAGTAATCAAGAGCGGTAAAGCAGCAGGTGTCGATGGAGTTTTACTAGAATTTCTCAAGTTTCTCGGACCAAAATGTAGAAAATGGCTAACCAGATTGGCCACAGTTGTAGCAAAAACTAGCAACATCCCAAAACTATGGCGAGCAGTAAAAGTGATAGCCATCTTAAAACATGGCAAACCAGCAAACGAACCAAGCAGTTATAGACCGATTTCACTTTTGTTCACAGTATATAAATTTTTTGAGAGACTTACACTTAATAGAATACAACCTATATTAGAAAACGTACTACCCATAGAACAAGCCGAATTTAGGATAAACCGAGCCTGTTGTGATCAAGTGTTAGCGCTCACAACATACATTGATAATGGCTACCAACGCAAGGACAAGTTAGGTGCCGTCTTTCTGGACTTATCCTCTGCTTATAATACAGCATGGAAAAGAGGTCTGATGCTAAAGTTGGCAAAAATTATAAGATGCAAAAGCACGCTTCGTTTAATAGAAAGTTTGTTGTCTAACAGGAAATACAATGTATTTCTAAATGACGTTGTCAGTCGTTACAAATATCTACAAAATGTCCCCCCCCCAGGGATCTGTGCTATCACCGATTCTGTTCAACGTGTACACATCCGATATAGTTGATACCAGGGGTCACCAAATAGAGGCCCGCGAATACATTTTAACCGGCCCGCAGACTGAGAGAAAAATCCAATAATTTAATACGTACTTATTATCAAGCGCGACTGTTGCAGGTAATTTCTTATCTTTGTACATTATTACTGCATTATTAGGTTTTTTCGGCTGCAAAAAATATTATACTAGCTGTGAAGAATATCTTATTTTATCTGTTTTAATATTTATTTGAAATTTTATTACGACAAGTCGACAACTCGTTAAGTCACACATATTAATATACGTACAACACGTCAGTCCGTCAGTTATCGGTGAGACGGTGGTGTCCGCTGCGACGTAATTTTTGTTCGTCCGTTCCGTTTTATTTATTAATTTTCGTAATTAAATAATATATTATTCTTTGTTTTAATTTGACTATGGATAGAAAAAGAATAAAAATAGAAAATGAAAATAGACAGTTTTGTCCTGAATGGATGGACTTATATTGTTTTATTTTACCAGATAGAGTAAGTGCCTTACCTGTTTGTTTGATTTATAAAAAAACAGTGGCTGTTATGAAAGTGTTTAATATCAAACATCATTATGAGACACACAAGTCATTTGCCGAAAAATTTCCATTGGGTACTGGCCTTCGTAAAACAAAAATTGAAAATCTAAAAATGAAATATAAATCGGCAACTCAAATTTTGAGCCATGAACAACAAAAATGTACACAGGCATCTTTAAAAATTTTGTGGATACTCGGTAAACATATGAAGTCATTTACAGATGCTGATATTTTTAAAGAATGTATGCTTCAATCTGTAAATGTTCTGTTTGGAAATAAAAAGGAAATTGTCGAAACTTTACGTCATATCCCAATATCAGCATCCACTAATACGAGAAATACTGAAGTCCTGGCCAAAGATAATCACAATCAGTTGAAACAATTTTTATCTACTGCTGATTTTTATTCTATAGCCTTGGATGAATCTTGTGATATAACAGATACATTTCATCTAATAATTCACCTGAGATACTTGAGTTATATCAGTGGGACATTTTACGAAGAGTTATTGACACTTTTGCTGTTATCAGGGACCAGCAAAGGAAATGATTTGTACAATGCTGTAGTATTGTACCTATTTTGAAACAGAAAATTTAAATTTAAAAAAAATTATCTCTCTCACAACCGATGGTGCACCAGTGGTGATTGGCGCTCATCAAGGCTTTGTTCAAAGATTAAGAAATGACCCTAAATGCAACTCTGATTTTTTATCGTACCATTATATCATTCATCAAAGCGTCCTTTGCTGCAAACTGGATCCGTGTTTGGAAAAAATTATAAAAACAGTAATAAGTATTGTTAATTTTATACGTACAAAATCTTCACTTCAGCACAGACTATTTAAGGCACTTCTTCAAGAAAATGATACTCAGTTTGATGATTTATTACTTCATAATAATGTGAGATGGCTGAGCAAAGGAAATGTTTTGCAAAGGTTTTTTAACTTAATGAATGAAATTGAACTATTTTTAATTCAGAGTACATATTTGTCTGCCAGAGACTATCACGAATTTATCAGTGATAACAGT